TTTTTGTTTATGGGATTAGCCCACGGGCATTTAGTAAAAATATCATTTATGGTTGATATTTTGTTCATCATACAATTTGTTCATCTATTATGTTTATTGAAAACTAATAAATCCGCTTGTTATTAATTGCTAGTGCTAGAAAAACATATATTCTTCTTCTTCCAAAATTTCTAATTTTGTATAAAAAACTTAATGATGTAAAAAAGGTTTTAATTTTTTTTGAGGCATTTTTAGTTTTCCTCTGGAGTTCTTTCACGCAAGAATATCCTGTTTCAGAATTAATAATGTACATCTTTTAAAATTTATTCTTTTTCTTTTGACAAGAGATTTGAGCTACAAAATGGACTATTTTTAGAGAGACAAATATCACAAATGCCTAATCAAGATTTAGTCTTGTTTTGCCTTGTCGTTTCATGATTTTCGTAAACCACATAATATCGATAATTATTTAAGGCTTAAAAATGGTAATTTGTTTAATTAATAATTGATCAAATTCAAAGAACAGAGTTAAATGAAATATTTCCTTTTAATGAAAAATTTTACTTTCGAAACGAAAGAGAGCTACAGAAGCGCAAATTAAATGTGTTCAGTGTGATAAATATTATGAAAAATCACATGAAAGCTAGCATCAGCGAAGTTTGATACGTTGAGATATCATGCAAAGTGATGAAGAAATTGAGTCAGTTGAAACCACTATCGTATCAAAACTAGAAACATGGAGAATTAGAAATAAATGCAACATGATGATTCCTCATGAGTATTGAAAACATTTCTGGTAGAGTAAAAGGTAAAGAAGTAAACATAAATTTACAACTTTTTTGTATAGATATAAATGGGAATGAATTTAAAGAGCATTCCTTTAAAACGCCAAATAAAGCAACGTTGAGGTCAAGTGATTTTGATGTTTTTGTGATTATGCCATTGATACAATTATTAATGAATCAGATGAATTTAAATTAAAAGGATCGGGATAACCACTTGCAGAAATCAAACACTACGAATTAACAAAAACAATCCCCTTTATTGATCATCTTATATTGATTTACTAGATATAATTAAGAACTGAAAAGCAACCATAAATTAAAAAAATAATGATAATTAATGTTTTATGTGGTCCACAGCTGTTTGACCTAAAATAGTTTATCCAGAAAGGGTGTCAAACTATACGAAACTGGAAAAATAAATATCATAGGATTTGAATGTTCTGTATCTCTAGATAATATTATGCGTGTGTATATAATAATGTGTGTATCTAGATAATTTTATGTGTTTTATATTGTAGGATTTTACTTTATTTTTCTAATAGCATTTTTAATATTTGAACAAGCCTTTCCTTTATCCGCTAGTTTCATATCTACGTTTCCTTGCTAGAATAAGTTTTCAGAATTGCGATTTATGCAAATAAGGTAGAAACGAGTGTTTAAGCTGAGATATGTGTTACTTTAGGAGAACAGCGTGTTCTGCCATTCGGCCACGTTGCTGGTATTAGTTTACGGTCACACGGATCTATTTTACGGTCGTACGTGCCTGCTAGCATGCTCCGGTGATTCTTAAAGAAGGGACAACTACGCGAATTGATTCTGCGCAGCTTCGGCTGATTAAATGTACCTCCAAGGACTGGACCTGTGTCATCCATAGCTTACAACCCAAAATAATCCACTAAGTTCATAAAACGCAACAATAAGAATATCCACTCTCACTCTCATATTGTACAAAAGTGCCTTTAGAAAACACACTTAAATATCTCCATCTATTGAGACAACAGTGACTTTTATCATACTACTCAAACTACGAACTATGAACTACTTCATACTGTGCAATGTGTGACAGATACACGAGTACTACGTACTCAACACTATGTATCATGAAATGAATTCATAAACTGTATGCTGAACTATGAACTGCACTATGAATGAACTTATAAACGGTGAACTATGTAACAAAAAAACCAAACAAACAACGAACCACGTACCATAAACGCTCCAGCCACCCGACAACAAAGCTCCAAAACGAAACCCAAAAAATATATGTATATACATCTGTAAATAACTTATTGTAATTATCCATTGTAATTATTGTATTTATCCATCCAACTGCAAAGTACCCCCTGTAAAGTACAGTGGATGGACAAAAAATATGGAAACACCTTGTGAAATGTATGTTTGAAAAGAAAGATTGATTTTAATGAAATATGTAGGTGGCGCTGGCGTTTTTGACTACTGACGCCACCTACACAACTTCGTAAATGTGCTAAACAGTTCAGTTGTTGTCGGAGTACTGTTATGTGAGGTTGCCATTGCATTATGTCAGAGTTAACAAACTTCGAACGTGGGCAAATTGTTGGAGCACGTATGGTAGGTGCTTCCGTAAGCAAGGTAGCCGAGGTGTTTAGTGTTTCAAGAGGTACTGTATCGAAGATTTATTCCGCATATTTGAAAAGCGGAAAAACATCATCTGCTAAATCACAGCGCGGACGAAAATGTGTCCCGAGTGATCGTGACAGACGATCATTAAGGGCAATTGTGACGAAAAATAAGAAGACCACAGCTGCAAAAGTTACTGCTGAAATGAATGTTGTGTTACCGAACCCTGTGAGTACCAAAACAATTAGAAGGGAGCTTCATAAACAGGGAATTGCTGGCCGTGCTGGCAATTGAGAAGCCACTCATCAGTGATGCTAATGCCCGTAACAGGAAAAGGTTGTGTTTAAGTCATAAAGCCTGGACTATAGAGCAGTGGAAGCGAGTAATAGGGTCTGACGAGTCTTCTTTCACATTGTTTCGAACTTCTGGCCGAGTTTACGTCTGGAGAACGCCATCTCAAGCCTGTAATACAGACTGCTTGTTGCCAAGAGTGAAACATGGCGGGGGTTCTGTTATGGTTTGGGCAGCCATATCGTGGTTCTCTGCTAGCCCCATGATAACTGTGTCAGAGCACATGACTGCCAAGACTTATGTGAACATTTTGGCCGATCAAGTTCATCCCATGGTACAAACTTTGTTCCCCGATGGTGATGGTGTCTTCCAAGACGACAAAGCCCCTGTTCACACAGCTCACATTGTCCAGGACTGGTTTTCTGAGCACGAGGATGAGTTGTCCCATCTCCCCTGGCCACCACATTCACCAGACCTGAATATTATCGAACTTTTGTGGTCTACATTGGAGCGGAAAGTGCGTTTTCGTTATCCACCGCCAACATCGTTATCTGAACTTGCCACCGTTTTGCAGGAAGAATGGTATAATATTCCCTTGGCAAACATACGGGAACTGTATTTATCCGTTCCGAGAATACTGCAAGCTGTTTTGGATGCCAACGGGTTTTCTTCACCATACTAAGCACAGAAACATGTTTTTTTTTTTTTAAAGGTGTTTCCATATTTTTGTCCAACCCCTGTATATCTTAGACAATATTTTCTGCAATGTAAATTGTGCACCATTAATATATAACTCGGTATTATGAATGCTGCAATGTAAACAAACTCCCGAGCATGGTGTTACCGTTGCCCGGTCAGGGCACACTTCCATAGATGGTTAGTGCAGTGGGGCGATACCAGTTTTGCCCATGACGATGTTTTGTCGCCCCTTGTACTTCTTTCTCTCTGTCTGATTAAATGTTTTCTAGCATTAGTTTAGTTTTATAATTTATATTTTATAAAGTATAAGTCCGAGCAGTGGGGGCTTCTTGTATGCCCAAGAGAGGCCATCTGTACATTTATTTTGAGTTTGAATAAAAAGGTGATTTAACCCTTCTTTGGACTTGTTACTTACACTGCAAGAACTCAGCTAACAATCGCCATTTTGTTCTTCAGTGTTGTAGCTTCCAAGGAACTCTGTTTCAGCTAGGATATTACAATATATATATATGTGTGCGTGTACGTATATATAAATCTGCAGTCTTTAATGAACAGCAAACCACACAGAGTTACTGTCGTTAAATATTTCTTCAACAATAAGTATGTATTATTTCTGTGAATTGGCCTCAGAGCATTTCGTCCTTCTTCTAAGATATCTTCGTCGTAGTTTTCCGTTTAAATAGCTCTGTCAACATGCCCTCGATCTAATTAGAACGTCTGACTTTTAGTTTAATTTCGCTGGGTATAAGTAATAAAAAAATTATTTAATTACCTTGCTTTCCTTAAAACCATTTTGGCTTGATAGAAACCTCAGACGAAACCTGAAGGAAATTAACAAGCTAACGTTTTCACAGTAGCCATTTCGATTCTTCAACAGATGGTTACGCAAGGGTTTTCAAAAAATATATCACATCTAAGTATTTTGTGAACAGTTGGTTACAGATCAATAGCTCTAGTTTCAAGAATAAATTAAATAAGGCAGTCTTCTAGAAAACTTATTTAATGAAGGTTAGATGGCTTATTACTGCTAGAGTTTGGGTTACAATAATTCTTTTTCACAAACATGTATGAAAATTAAATTTTTCCTCTTTCTCCTTACCGAGGGGAATTTAATTCCGTTTAATGAACAGTAGATAATAGAGTAAAGATATTTTGGGAGAAAATGTTGTTTCACAACATGGAAAATTAGTTGCAAAAACGGGTTAAATTTGAGACTCAAACTACTTTCACTCGATGCAAAATGTCGATTTTGAGGATAAAAACATTTTGAATGACTTAGTTGATCATAGAATTCACTTTTTTCATGGCCATTTATGTCTATGGAGCCATTGCAAAAGTTTAAGTTTCGAATACATCTACTGAAAGGTAATCATCGAATTTTATCGTAATTTCTTAAATTAAGCCAAACGATCAGAAAACTGAACGTTTTTGAGTTTACTATATAATCTTTGATGTTAACATTAGTTGTTATTTAGAAATTTGAAAACTTTTTAAGGTTGAATTGTTTGGCTTCAGTCCGTGAGTAATTTCATAGTGGCAGCCGATCCTGAGTAGATACCGTAAACCGAATCCTATTAATACTTTCGGAAGTAGATAATATTGCATAAAAATGTATTTAATATTTAATTCTTTTCTTTTTTTCTTTAGGTATTTTTTGTTTTGAGAAAGAAGAATAACCTGATTACTAATCTACATGTCATTCATCATGCATCTTTACCTATTATAGGCTGGATCTTTCTAAGAACTGAAAGAAGTAAGTTCCGGTCTTAACGAAAATTCTCCTTCTATTTTATTTACTAACCAGTATGAGGAAATTCCTTCCCTTTCTCTCGCACCCCCCCCAAAAAAAAACATTGATCTGAAAATAATTGCTAAAACATTATGAAGCTTTTCATGAACAGGAGTCAAAGATGAAGATGAGATTAGAGTTGGATATCAGTTTGTTCCTTGATTGAACAAACTATTCTAGAAGCATTAAATATGATTAAATATTAGCATGTTATGCAGCCATTTCTCCTGAAAATATTAGCTATATAATACATTGATATAAACGTTAACGTCCTTCGGAATTTTCTGCCATATATTCTGCAGCTGGCTTATAATGTTCGCACTTTTGAGGGCCCTGCTAATCTTTTCTGTATCGTTGAAATTTTAGTATATGTACTGCCGAAGCAAGTATGCACTCTGTAAGGTATTTTCTCCCTTCTTCAAGCATACCTTCGTGGTGTAACGGTAGTACACTCGGTGCGTATTCGAAAGATCCAGTTTCAGACCCCGGCGAGAGTATTTCTCATTTTTCACGTTTCCGGCATTAAAAAACCCTAATGTCTCTACAAATGGCACCAGAGTTAAAAACAAATGTCGTGCACGTTACTTAGTCACCACCAGGATTTGGCGATCCCCAGTTGTCCTTTAAAAGGGAGAGTATATATGATATTTTCTCACCCCTCCCAGCATGCTTTCGTAGTGTAACGGTAGCGCACTCTGCGCGTATTCGAGGGGTCCAGATTCGATTTCCAGCGAGGGTATTTCACATCTTTCCTGTCTCCGGTTTCAAAACAACCTAATAATTCTACAAGGTAATAATCGGTATGTTCCCATATTCCTTATTTTATAGGCCGGCGAAAGAAATTGAGATCTAACAGGCCTATACGGAATTGTGACACTAGCAGATGCTTACTGAAGGTGTTTGAGTGTGCGGACAGGAATTATACCATTGAAAGACGGATCCATACAGACGAAACTGTATGGCAATGTGATAGTTTGCATAAAATAAATGCTGACATATCTCTGAGAGTTAGAGCTACATAAGCCCCTACAGACGACTTAATATCATAAACAATGGCTACCCAAAATGGTAATGTCAGATATGATAGACTTATGCTCACAATATGGGTGAGCATAAGTCGGGCAGACCTCCCTTCAAACCGATACATTCGAAATTTAGAAGCTCAACGTTTTCCAACTTTCTTGCATCGATACTCTGTGATTACTTGTCCAGGAGATGTTGGTAAGTGACTATGAATGTGAGATACGGAAGTTAGCCTTGGATTTGCAACAGTTAAAATCACTGAGACACGAATTCTTCCATGGGGCACTCATCCTGTTCTCATGTAGCTTATTGTTGGAATTGTTGACAATAATATCATCTGACTGTATTACTGCTCTAATCCTTACAATGGGTGCTTCATATCTAGGGCCAACCCGCTTCTCTGATGGCAGCGGTACACGCTTTTATGGTTAGATTAGGTTTTTAGATTTTTTTAATATAGCCCATGATGGCTACGTGCCTAAAATGAGGGATGCCTTCATCGAGGATTTTCTGAGGGAAATTGGTTCGCATCCATGTTTCACACGAAGAAAACCACGAATTTGGGAATCACGAGGGAACCACGGAATTCTGGCCAACAGATTCTGTCGCCAAATCCCTTGGCGAATTTTCCCTCTTCTTTATAGCGGCGTAGAAGACAAACTGGTTTATATTACGTCTATGGAGCCTTTTCTTCTTTACATAGACGTTCTTTGACCTTGGTTCGAATCCCGAAGAAGGCATGGTTGTAACTGTCCGTCCCTTCATAGGAAAGATAGGAAAGGCGATGGTGGTCCACCTATTAGGTGCTTCCATAATAAAGAGACCACCACATCCGGCCTTGTATAGATTAATGGACTGGGTTACATTTGTGATTGTTCACAATCTGCTATTGGAAAAAAAAAGTTTCAAGACTGACGAATGATATTTGTAGGCTTTTTTGCGGAGAAGGGATATACTAATTTTATATGACGATCAGGATGCATAACAGAAAAATTTTAGCATTTAGTACTGAATTCTTGGACTTCTAAAACTGATTAAAAAATGCATGTTCGAAGTCTGAAAATAAAATCATACTTGTCCATTCCTTGGCCTAAAATTAAACATATCCGTACTTAATATAGTAATCACATCTTACGAGATCACTTGATTCTACAGTTTTCCTTGCAGCTCAAAAGCTGCGCGTATTTAAAAATCGTTTCACTGTATTGCTTAGTAAGCTTTTATAAAACCTCTTCTTTAAAAATCACTTCTAGGCTACAGCAGTTATAGAACTTCTAATACAGTACAAATTTTACATAACACAAATGAGTAATTATTATAACAGTTGCTTACAAAAAAATAACAAAACAAGAATCTGCGCAACAAAACTAAAGATCTGAGTTTGTACAGCAATGAACTAGAATTGTAGTAATAAACAACAGTATCTGTACACTTAACCTTTTAATCCCGTTACCGACTAGGATGACAAGCAGTCCGTATTTTCAAAGCGTAAAGTTAACTGAGATCTGTTTCTTTTCTGTATGTCATGTACAGTATTATTGTAATATAAGGAAGCAATTTTATTGTTTCGTTTATTTTATTTTAATAAAGGTTTTCACATTTAATAATTGTTCTGTTGATCACTTTAGTCCGACTTACTGTTAACAACACATTGTGTTTACAAATATTATAAGTGTTAGAACATAAACAAATATTCTATATTTTACTTTGTTCTAATTTCCTTCATAGGTCAAGACAGCAATTATTTACTTCTTCATTTTTAATTTTTTTTGTTACATTGCAGCGATGAAAACAGGATTAGAATGTAAAACCTACAGGGGATGGACAAAAATATGGAAACACCTTTAAAAAACATGTTTCTTTGCTTAATATGCTGTAGGAAACCCGTTGGCATCCAAAACAGCTTGCAGTCTTCTCGGAATGGATAAATACAGTTCCTGTATGTTTGCCAAGGGAATATTATACCATTCTTCCTGCAAAACGGTGGCAAGTTCAGATAACGATGTTGGCGGAGGATAACGAGAACGCACTTTCCGTTCCAATGTAGACCACAAAGGTTCGATAATATTCAGGTCTGGTGACTGTGGTGGCCAGGGAAGATGGGACAACTCATCCTCGTGCTCAGAAAACCAGTCCTGGACAATGTGAGCTGTGTGAACAGGGGCTTTGTCGTCTTGGAAGGCACCATCACCATCGGGGAACAAAATTTGTACCATGAGATGAACTTGATCGGCCAAAATGTTCACATAAATCTTGGCAGTCATGTGCCCTGACACAGTTATCATGGGGCTAGCAGAGAACCACGATATGGCTGCCCAAACCATAACAGAACCCCCGCCATGTTTCCCTCTTGGCAACAAGCAGTCTGTATTATAGGCTTGAGATGGCGTTCTCCAGACGTAAACTCGGCCAGAATTGGGAAACAATGTGAAAGAAGACTCGTCAGACCATATTACTCGCTTACACTGCTCTATAGTCAGGCTGTATGAATTAAACACCACCTTTTCCTGTTACGGGCATTAGCATCACTGATGAGTTGCTTCTCAATTGCAGCACAGCCAGCAATTCCCTGTTTATGAAGCTCCCTTCTAATTGTTTTGGTACTCACAGGGTTCGGTAGCACAACATTCATTTCAGCAGTAACTTTTGCAGCTGTGGTCTTCTTATTTTTCGTCACAATTGCCCTTAATGATCGTCTGTCACGATCACTCAGGACACACTTTCGTCCGCGCTGTGATTTAGCAGATGATGTTTTTCCGCTTTTCAAATATGCGGAATAAATCTTCGATACAGTACCTCTTGAAACACTAAACACCTTGGCTACCTTGCTTACGGAAGCACCTACCATACGTGCTCCAAGAATTTGCCCAAAGTCTGTTAACTTTGACATAATGCAATGACAACCTCGCATAACAGTGCTCCGACAACAACTGAACTGTTTAGTACATTTACGAAGTTGTATAGGTGGCGTCAGTAGTCAAAAACGCCAGCGCCACCTACATATTTCATTAAAATCGATCTTTGGTTTCAAACATGCATTTCACAAGGTGTTTCCATATTTTTGTCCATCCACTGTATATATTATTTCTGCTTAATTAATATTTTTATGATACGTAACAGCGCATATGATATTCTCTCTTTTCAGATGCATTCCAAGTAGTTCCTGGGGTAATAAACAGCTTTGTACATGTTATTATGTACACATATTATGGCCTAGCAGCAATAGGTCCCGAAGTCCAAAAACACTTGTGGTGGAAAAAGCATCTTACTAAACTTCAGATGGTAAGTTTTCTCCCTTCAAAATACTGTAACCTTCAGCACACTTTTGTGTTTTAAAAAGGAAATTTAAAGAATGAGTTCTGATGATTTTAATTACGCCTCTGCATCAGTTTTACTGTACAATTAAAACAAAATTTTTGTCCATATCTTCAATACCTGCACATTTAAATTTAATCACTTAACAGTATTTGCCACAGCAGCATTCTGGTGCCGCAAAGGGGACTTCTCTGATTTACCCGAACACCGCTCGGGCAATCTATTTTCTTATACTAATTCGCTGATTTGCCCGCTTTTCCACTTTGCAGTGTTTCTGATAAATGCCTCTAGTAGTGTAAGAGAGACTAGAGTGCAAAACCAGCTCAAGGATAGATTTTACTTTTTTTTTTGTTTAGGCTTTGTGTGTTGCTCGAAAAGCCGAAAACGTGCTAAAAAAGAAACCAAATATTTTTGTCCCGATCCTGACATTGGACTCTTCTTACCTCCATGTTTTAAAATATACGTAGGCTATTTAGAAAGTAACTTACGTTTTAGAATAAAAAAGAGAAAACAAAAAACAAAATCTGAAATGTTTCAGATTTTAAATTACGTCCAAAGGGGCGTTTTTTAACATTTTGTGTGTTACCTTTCTTTATTAAATATCATGTTCCTCGCACTTAAACCATAAGATCCAGTGCAACAGCAATATCGCAAAATAGTTTTAAAACGAGCATATCTTTAGAATTTCCGATACAGAGACTCACGCGCTGGAGATAAAAATGTTTTTTCTGCACAACGTTACCATTGCTCGCTTTGAAATCCTTAGAGTTTGTTAATCAAAAAATTCGTCAAAGTTTTAAAAAATAGGAATCGATCATAAAACAAATTTCAAATTTCAAATTGGGTCTTCCACATGCTCATATTCGTTGGAGGATTACGTTATTCAAAATTCGATGACTCTATGTACCGTTGTTTTATCACAATACGAGAACTATACATACATTTATGCAGATATTTCATTATTTAATTTCTTCAAATATAATGCAGGCTCTAACATTTTTGTGGCAACAGTTTGAAAAGTGAACCGACATTTATGAGTCCGACGCAAAATGCCAAAACGAAACTAATAGTCCTTCGGGATTCAAATCCCTTTGGACTAACAAATGAAAGTAAACATTTTTTATTACTTACAGTTGAAAGGCACATTATTCAGCTATTTTTCTACATAATCTTCGTATAAATTAAGAAACTTATCATAATGGTACACCAGCTTATGAATTCCATCGTCATAGAATGTTGTCACCTGAGATCTCAACCGTCCATTGGACGCCTGCGTGCAGTTCCTCGTCATCGTCGAAGCTCTGTGTTTCAAGCCAGGCACACACAAGTGTCTCCCAAAGGGACGAACTTTATCCAAGTCTCGTCTCCTATTACGACACGATAGAGACGTGATTCACTGTCCGTGTTACGCGTCGAAACATGTCAAAGTTGCTGCTTCTTGTGGTCTTCTGAGAAGAGTTTCGGTACCCATCTGGCACTGGTGATAGCCTAGATCTTGTGTCACAACACCAAAAAACAAAGTTTGTAAAATTTGAAGAACCTCTGAGAGCTCCGAAATTGTGAAGTGGTGGATTTTGTGTAACACTTCATCGATTTTCTCTACGAGTTCAGCATTAATCCTTTGCGGCACAGTGTGTCCGGTCTGGACACACCTAAAACTTGCCTTCTGTACGCATAAAAAAAATTGAATGAAAAAGGATTTATAGGTTACTATAGGTTACTCTGAACCTTCTCTATTTATAGTAGATGGCAGCTCAACACAAACCAGTCCATATATTTTAGCCATGTTTAGTTTTTTATGATCCTCATTTTTCAAAGAAATCTTCCAGATTTTGTTTAGGGTATAAAAGAAATTGTTTGAAGAAAATTTCTATGTTATTCTTCTTCCTGTATGCTAATCTCCTCATTCTATAACAGTTTTAAATTTTTACCTTGAAATCTTGCCTGAAATCAAAAGGCGAACCCTAAGTGTGTCCAGAACGGGCACACCGATGATCTAGAACAACTGAGAGTCTGTATTCTTTGTTTCTCCGCATCTCATCGGTCAGTTCATTGACAACAAGGCTCGTTTCAGCACTCTTTTCGAAGCTCTATCCAAACACTGTGCCATTTTTGGCACACCCACAGAGTTAAAACGATAAGTGCTATCTTCACAAAGTTTTACTTGTGTACATCTCAAGACCCAATTAGACTGCCTACCTCTTTTTAATCAAGATTCCAACTTTAAAAGGTAGCGTGCTGAAAAGGTTTAACAGTGCTCGGCCAGCCACTTCCCGCTTCCTCGGGAAAATTTGTGACACCATTTTTAAGAATGATGCACCATTGTCTCATTCTGGCTTCACTCATTACTTCGTTTCCATACACCGTACAAAGCTCCCGATAAATTTCAATTGGTCTAAGGTTTTTTACCAACAAAAATCTAATCACTGATCACTTCATAACTGGAGCGGATTTTCTATTGCGGCACATATTTTAAACCTTCACAGTGAGCACAGCAGCCTTCACAAAGTAGAGGTGAACCTTCACAATGCAAAAGCAATACGTGCCATCAAGGCCAGTGAATCTTCACAAAGCAAAGGCAATACGTGCCATCAACGATTACAACCTGATGCGTAAGGATTCAATAGACATTCCGACACCAACATGGGGATATACTGACGCTATCTCTCGCCGCGCCCTCTTATCTTGTGAACAGCCCTCTTATCATACCAAAGCTTAATTTTGAAATGAAATAAAAATATAAGTAATAAAAAAGTACACGTGCTTTCCCTAACATTTATCTCTTGTAAAGTATTCTTTCCGGTTTCAAACTTTCATCAGAAAAAAGCAAACTTTAAGTGCAAATGCCTAATTTTCGCCTTAACCCTCTCCGGCACGCTACCTTTTAAAGTCGGAGTTTATATAAAAAAAATAGGTAGGCAGTCTAATTAGGCCTAGAGGAGTACACAAGTAAAATTTTCTGAAGATAGCACTTATCGTTTTAATTCTGTCGGTGTGCCCACTACACTGACTGAATCGAAAGAGTGCTTCGAAAAGAGTACTGAAACGAGCATTGTTGTCAATGAACTGCCCGATGAAATACGGAGAAACAAAGAATACAGACTCTCAGTACCTAGATTATCGGTGAGCCCCTTCTGGGCACACCTAGGGTTCGCCGTTTGATTTTAGGCAAGATTTCAAGGTAAAAATTTAAAACTAATATGGAATAAGAAGATTAGCGTACAGCCAAAAAAATAACATAGAAATTTCTTTTCAAACAATTCCTTTTATATCCTAAAAAAAATCTGGAAGATTTCTTTGAAAAATAAGGGTCTTAAAAACTAAACATGGCTAAAATATATGAACTGGTTTGTGTTGAGCTGCCATTTACTATAAGTAAAGAAGGTTCAGAGTAACCTATAAATCCTTTTTCATTCAATTTTTCTGCGCGTACAGAAGGAAATTGTTAGGTCCAGACTGGACACTCTGTGCCGCAAAGGGTTAATTAAAAATTATCTTAAATTAAGAAATTCAATACTTGAAACAATTTTGACTGCTGATTTTAATTAATGTAACCGATTTGAGTAAAAAAAAGTATATAATATGTTTGTAAAATATATGTTTATTTTTGGTCACAATATGGTAAATAAATGAAACTACTAAGTGGTTAAGAAAATGTGCAGAGGTCCCTGTGCCAGATAGGTTTGCTTAGGTAAAAGTATTTGAAATGATAACTGAATAGTATTTGGATAAGCATGTTAATGAAAGATAACATAGAAATATCACGGTATTGAATTGTTTGCCTTATTAATAAAAGACAGACGCCTGGTATTTAGAACGATAATGGGCTTTATTGTATTTCGAATATAATGTGCTAAAATTTCTGACTCTTTGGATGACCATGGCTCTTTGAGATCTTATTCAAATATTGGAAGACAGAAATTTTATTAACCTTTATGCTTATTTGTCAAAATATAAATACTCTTAGTTGCCAATTTGTTGATGCGCGGAGACGTGAAAAATAGGCAATGCCTTTCCCTTATTCGAATCAGAACCTCTCGAATACCCGTCGCGTATGCTTTCAAATACCCCACGAAGGCATACTGGAAGGAGGGAAAAATACCTTATATACTCCCCCTTTTAAAGGACGATTGGGGATTAGAGGACCCAATCGCCAAATCTTGCTCGTAGAGAATTATCGTCCAACATCTTTTTTAGTACGGGTGCCACTGTAGAGTCATCAGTTTTTTTTAATCCTCGTGTGACAAATAAACAATGCCCTCGCCTGAAATCGAACCTGGATCTCTCGAATACGCGTCGGGTATGCTTCCAATTATACCACGAAGGCATGCTGGAAGGAGGGAAAGAAAAAAAGGAATCAGACTGATCTATGAGCATCAGTAATTTGTGGTAAAGATAGTTTCTAGTAATTTTTCTCCAAGGTTATCAAATTTATCGAAACTGAAAAGCCGTGAGATGTTGTAGCTTAAAGCTGTAATAAAAAATAAAATAAATTTATTAATTATTTGCTTTCAGATATATGTGTCAAAGGAAAATTTAATAAATAGAAGAAAGATAATTGGCTGTCATTATTTATTCTCAAATTTTGGCACCACTCAGAAAGTTCTCGTAGTTTGTTCACTTTTTGATTAAGTAAATTATTTAGGGGCTAACTGAATACATAAGAAGTATGTGAAATAAATGTCTGTCTGAAAATTTAGGTATCAATACGTTTGAAATACAAAAAAAAAAAAAAAAAAAAAAAAAATTCTTGCAGGTAGAAATTTTTAGATTTTAACCAGAAAATAAATATAGGTTGCATTTTTTAACATATTCTTCATTATTATTACAATTTATATATGTTTTGGTAAATATTTAGTAAATAAAAGTTTTAATTGAGGTAAGAACATTTGTTTTGTTAAAAAATGATTTCATCTGGAGAAAATAATAATAATATGGCCCGTCAGCAGCTTTTAGATTGTACTTTTGACCAGCATGAACTCTGAGTTTGAAACCACTGGTATACGACACAAATTTTATAATGA